TTTGTAAAAGATTTCCTTGAGATAAACTGGTCTATGGTTGTACTCAAGAAGACTTTAATAGTTGTTAAAGTAGCTATTGTAATCCTTTGAAAATAGTGGATTAAGACCTCGTTGGAGAGAGGCCAAATCACCTTGACGGGTGGACTGGAGTAGTTTGAGATTAAACGAACCAGGATAAAAATACTGTGTTGTCAAGCCATTTGTTTTAAGTTTTCCAATTCAACCCCCCTTCTTGTGTTTTTCACATCTTCAACCATGAATTATACAGTTTCAGTCAAAGACGAATTAGTCCTATCCAGTTAAACTTGAGAGCTTTTAGTAGGTAATACTCACGAACCCCCTTATACAAGGAAAGTTGATTTTATCGTTAACTTCCAACCAAACAATACACTGAGAAGTGAAGTGATAATTCTTCATTCCAAATGATGGATTCAAGCTGTTAGTCTTCTTCGTACAAACTAAGAATTTTGGAGTTGTAAGTCTTCAAGCTTATAAACCAAGATTTTACCACTAGTTAATGTTGAACCTTGTAGAGCTTACAATACCAGGCTTTCTCACGAACCTAACCTTGACTTTACCACGGGATGACTAAGAATCTGAGAGATTTTATCTCGGGGTAATCTCAAACCTAAACAAGCTTTTAATACCAGACTAAGCTTTAATCTAAACTTGGTTTTATCATGGACTTACCAAGAACTTATGAGATTTCACCACACGCTGATCTCAAACCTAAACAGAGACTTGATCACACAAATCCCAAACTAAAGCATTTTAAGAGTTTAACCTCGAACCCAAACAAACAATCCTTAAGTGCATAAAATGTTCAATATAGGTAAAAATAAAAATTTCCTTGGTGAACTTATAAAACTACCCTTTCAGAATTATAATTTCCCCACTTACAAAAGAACTTTCATAAAAAACACTTCGACTAAACTTTTAGTGAGAGAAAGTAAACAAAAGTATTTTTTAGAGAGAAATTGAGAACTCAAAATTGAAATCACGTTTATGGATATGGAAAATATTGGAAATGGACCTCTATTTATATGCTAGAGGTTTTCTAAAAAAATGATTTAAAGACTTTTTAAGACTTGTCAATCGATTGGTACATATTGCCATTCAGTGGGTTACCCTAAGCTAATCGATTATCAAGCTTAAAAATGAAAGGAAATTTATTTATCTTTTACTCATAACTAAGATGTTGTCCTAATCGCTTAGGGCTCAAATTTGAAGTGATTCAATCGATTAGGTTAATGTGCTAATTGATTGGTAAAGAAAAACTTTACTAAAAGTTATTTTGACAACTCCTAACTCATCTGACACAACCTCAAGGTGTTTTTCAAAATATTTTCTTGAGAAAAATATGTTTGAAAACAAATTTATGTGTGTGTGTGTGATTTAGCCATGTGCTTTTATGAGAATGCCCTTATGCTTTACAATATATTTAATCAGACGCATCGAGGCAGACTTTTAAATACTTCAAGTATTTGTCAAAATGTTTCATTTCTTGCAGAAACTTGCTTGAGTTAGTTTGAGACGAGGCTTGAATTAGATTCCATTAATTGCCATTGTAACGGTCGTTTATTTATTTAATTATTAAATTATGTATTTTCGATTAATTTCGAATTATTTATTGAAAATCGTTGACATGTTGTGTTATGTTGTGAGTTGTTAAGTTGCGATGTTGTCATTAGTCGGTTAAACTAGTGGATTAAATTAGTTGAGTAATATTAGTAATAATGTTAGAAATAGTAGAATAATAGGTTAATTGTGTTGGGCCTATTTTTATGGTTAGAAGTAATAATAGATGGGGTGTGTAAGTTGATCCCATTAGGAATAATAATATTATTATTAGGATTAGTTATAATAATACAAAATTAGGTTAATTAGAAAGATTAAGAAAGTCTTGGAGCAATAACGTAGGAAGTGGAAGAGAAGAGGAACAAGGAAAAGAGGCAAAGCTAGATTCAATCAGAAAATTGTAGGGCGATCTTCAATCCAAGGTAAGGGCGGGGTTTTGAGTCTATAATGAGAATTATGATGAAAATTATGTAGGAATTGGATTGGTGTAATGTTGTGTTGCGTATGATTCTTGTTGTTGTTTCTGAAATTGTTTGTTATCATATTGTGGATGTTCCTGAATTGTTTGCAGAATTAACTATATATTGTTGGAAATTATAATGTTGCTGATATAGTTGTTATGTTGCTATGATGTTCCGTGGTATGAAATTAGTGATCGAGGAGAATACTGAATTCTGGTTTAGCGTTGGTGACAGAACAAATGAGTTCTGTATGAAGGGTCAAAATCACATTGTGCCGAGGGGCACAGGTGCTTGTGTCGAGCGGCACAATGTTGGCGTGTCGAGGGGCACAGTTTGATGTGCCGAGGGGCACGCAGGTAAACTGTAATTGTGGCGAGGGCCATGGTTTTTATATGGTGAGCGCCACCGTTTTTAGGCCACTTTAGTGTTTTTCTTTAGTTCCTGATCCACATATAGTTTTAGCATAATTCAGCCCTAAAATAATTATGGTCAGATTATAATTGAAGTACATGTAGATTAAGAAAAAATAAAAGAAAACTGTTTAGTTAATATTTTAGCAACAATAACTAGTAGTCAGTAGAATGTAATGTAGTAGAAAAACATTACAGTAGTTAATAGTGGGAATTGGTAAGTAGGTAACATGGATAGTAGGAGTCATATAGAAGTAAGACACTAGTAATGTTAGAAATAGTAACAGAAGGATTCAACTGACAATAAGAAACAATGGCAAATTTGTTAGATTTTAAAGTAACAATAGCAGAGATAATTCATGGTAGTAGGAGATAATTCATAGTAGTAGATGTAATTGCAGGGACCTTATCGGAAAACTATTAATTGTATAATAACATAGTACATGTAGCAGGAATAAGTTGACAGTAAGAGTTAATTGTGAAATAGTGACATAAAGCTATTAGCAATAAAACAACAGTAGAGAATTAAATAGTAGCACTAGCATTAGTAGAAATTGTTGATAGCAGTACTAGCTTATATAATAATTATAGAAGGTTAATATTAGAGGAACCGTCACAAAACGTCTAATAATAGAATATCGATGTATAGCTGAATAATTATGTAGTGTTATTGCAATGGGTTTCAATGGTATTTATTGTTGACGATGCGAAGTTGCAGGATATACCGATGTTGTTGAAATGCCTCTAATTCTTGGCAGATAAGTTGTAGGCTTGTGGTCAGTGTTGAATTGTTGTTGAGTTGTTGTTGAATGGTTGATGTTGTAGTTGTCGTTATGTTTCATAATGTTGTTATGACTTTGATAGTTTGCGAGAATTTGATAGATTGAGAGAGTATGATAGAAATGAGGAAGGGGAAGGTCTTTCACCTGTTTGATTAAAAACCTGTCAGAAAATATTGAGGTGAAATACCTTTCTAAATTCTAGTAATAGTTTTGACTTTTCAATGGAGTGTGAGCGGAAGTCTTAAAAAAAAGAAAAAGTAATATTTTTCGTATATAATCACTCATTACATAGACAGATTTAAGCATGTGCAACCTGATCTAGTATACAAGATCTTATAAAATTGAGTATCTTGAAATTTTGGTTGAAAAAATTAAAAAATTTAAAATAATAATTAACTAATATATACTTTATTAGCTAAATAATTAAACAATTGAGACAGTGCAACCCAACGAATAAATTGAAGACCAGGGATATAAAACTCACTTGTTTAACCTTAAATATGAGTCGATATATTTTGATTTTTTTTATTTATAAATTAAAGTATTAATTTTATTTTATTATTTTATCAAAACTATTTACAAAGATTTTAACTCACACATATATTTACTATTGTTTTAATAAAAAATTTAATCGCAAAATAATTTTTTTATATAATCCATTTAAATTCATAACTGATCCTCACTAAAGTTTTGTTTTTGATGGTGTTATTTATTGTAACTCTTGCTTTATTTTAATTTTTTAAATAAAATTTTAAATATTATTTATAAATTATAATTAAATATTTAATAATATATCATTCTAACAATATATTAATTATCATAATTTTATGATGAAATATAATTCATATACTAAAATAAAGTAATTGATGTTACCAAAAAAACTAATTGAAATAGAATTTAAGAAAAAAATATAAGTCAATTTAAATTAAATCAAATCTTTAATTTATTGAATTAGAGTGAATTGAAAAAAAATCAACCATAGAGGAGCCTATTCCATCATTTGTGATTTGTTCTATCGTTTTTTCTTTGATTACAACATTAATTTTATTATTTTAAATGAGTATGCGTGAGTAGTTGTAAGTTGATTAATTAAATATAAGAAACTTTATTCAAACAATTAATATATTTTGATATAATTTGTATTTAATATTTTTAATCTTTTAATGTCATATATTGTAACTGTAGAATCATGAATAAGAATGATGTATTTATAGGACTATAAACATTATTTTTAAGAGAATTATATATATATATATATATATATATATATATATATATATATATATATATATATATATATATATATATATATATATATATATATATATATATATATATATATATATATATATATATATATATATATATATATATATATTCACTAATTAGTGAATATATTTTTTTTATCTATATAATCATAATAATAATTTAATATTTATTTCTTTAAAATTAAATATATTTTTAATTAGAAAATGATTTATACTACGAAAGAAAGAGAAAGAAAAAACAAAAATTTAATATAAAAAGGATTTATTGACCCACCAATTATGTTAAGACAAATACAAAGTAACGAACTCAAACTCGAACTTGAACTCGGCTAATTCAGAGTAATATTGGTAAAAACTTTCATTTTTATTGTCATTTGTAGAAAAATATACTTCTAAAAGTTTTAAAAAATAGTATATAGAAACATGTTTTAATTTACAAAAGGATGTGTAAATAGTAAAACAAGAATTCAAGCATGTAAAATTACTAGGGGAACCCAATATATGACCCAATCTCAAACTCACCGTAAAGTATCCATCAAAGCTGCTTCATCTCCGTTCGCACCACTCGCCGCCGGTTTTCTCCATCGAACAGTAACCCTCTTTCCCTTCTCTTCTGTGCTGTTTACAGTTACCTCTATTTCTTCCACGAGAGAAACGATTCTACTTAGTTCTTTTGATTTTTGATTTTTTTTAACCAATTTATGTTTATGCTTCCTATTTGAATCTATCAGTTTTGTATGATTAGATTCATGTTAGTCAAAATCTCAATCCAAACCATGAAATTCCGCGATCTTGCTACATATATTTGTACAATTTAATGTTATAGTTACTGAAATTTATTTGTACAATTTGTGAGTGTTGCATTGCCTGCAAAGTGTTTGATGAAATGCCTGATTTGGTTATGTTGTTTGAAATTGGTAGGAAATGAAGAAAGGAGTGCATCCGCAGAAGCAATGGATATCATATGTTACTCAATCTGGTAGGTTGATGCATGTGATGATGACAAAGATACATCCTGTTGGTAAAGTCTATCATTTTCGTGCTAAGCGTCAAATGGCTGAAAGTTTAGGACAGATTGCCAAGTTCAGACGTCGTTTTGGGTTGGAAAACCCTGAGGCTGCCGAAAAGAAGTGATTTTTTCCGAAGTTTTTGATTATTTTAATATGTTTTCATTTGCAATTCAATACTAATTCATGTTTTAACTTGTTTAGTACCACATCTTCATGTTATGTTTCTTGGTGTTAACAATTTTATGCACGGTGAAATAGCAAATAACTGTAATCAATTGAATTATTATCATATCTGGTGTCGCCTTAGATGAAATGCCTTTGCCATAACCTTTAAGGCTAAACCTCATTTGATCATGCGTTTAGGATTTTTCTTAGTCTTTGATCATTTATTTAAAAAGAACAAAACTAAAATGATGAGATACTAAGCCAATGAAACACACAAAATGTTGTCAAATCTCTTATCTTTTGTTAAGTCTTATTAAAATCAGAGTCCATGCAATCACTTAATTAATTGAAATTGAAAGTTTGCTTATCAATTAGGGAGGTCAAAATACAATGTCTAATCAATTAAAAGGTCCTTTTAATCTTAAATTGTTATTTTTAAGAGAATTTTGAATAAAAAAAAACATAAAAACAGAGAGAAATACAATCACAAATATATTCACTAATTAAACAACTAACAACTAGAAAATGAAAGATAAAGATCTCAACATATTTTTTTAAAGAAATAATAATAATAATAATAATAATAATAATAATAATAATAATAATATAAGAATTAGAAAGAAAATAATGAATTAAAGAAACAAGTTTTCAATAACATAATGTTAGTTTTAAGGAAAATATATGATATTTTAAGGAGAAGATATGATATTTTTGCATTCCTAAAATATATAATAGATAGCGAGGTTTAAAATGCGTGCTTTCATTTGACAATAAAAAATGTGTGTGCTCTGTTAACAAGTAAAAACATGATATTATAATAAAAATGTCTCACAAATCATTCATGATATAACAACTCATGAATAAAAAAAAATCATAACATCGTTATGTCCCATTATTTAATCGTGACTTTACAAGAATGAAAATAGTTTATTTTTTAAAATCGATAACTTCAAAAAAATTAAATTAACATTGTTGATAAAAAATATTACACTTAGTGTAACAATTTAGTGTAATGTTTTGAAAACAAGCACACAAAAGATAACAAATATAAAGAGGGAACATACCATATCTTGATATTTGCTCTCTTTAATTACTTTTTCTTTTAGAAATAGTTAAATTGTGATTTCTTATGTCGAAGCATGTTGTTCGATAGATATGAGAGTATGTTGAATTAGACATATTTTAGTAGTTTAACTGAATTATGTATTTTTAGACTTTTATAGTTTTAGGTTTTTTGGTTTAGGGAGAAAGCAAACTCAATTATAAATAGAGGGGTAATCCCTATTTTTATAATTCATTCATTCACAGAATTTACAGTTGCAAGTGAATAAGAAAGTTTTCCACAGTTCGTAGGCAGAGAGTTACTCTGCAGAAACCATAAATCTCTTTTCTTCTTTAATTTTTCCCCACTATCATTGTGTGGTGATAATAATCTTGTTCATCAAGATTGATAGAAATTCATCATAGATATTGGTGGATTTTCAATATCTGATATCAGAGTTCCGATTGAGCGATCAAGAGAAGAAGAAGAAAATCACAATGGCGGTGAATTATGTGAATGAGAATTTTCCAGCAAGTCTTTCAATTCTGAAAGGTGATAACTATGGAAATTGGTGCAAACAGATGAAGGTTATATTCTGTTATCAAGGTATTTGGAATCTTGTTAAAGAAGGATTAGATCTGCTTGCAGAAAAGGCAACGGGTGAAGAAAAGACAACACACAAAGAATTGGAGAAGAAGAATTATAAAGCTCTCTTTATAATTCACCAATGTGTTAGTCTAGAAAATCTTGAAAAGATTAGTGATATAGAATCTGTAAAAGAAGCTTGAGAGATTCTTGAGAAATCTTTTGGAGGTGCAGAAAAGGTGAAAGAGGTGAGGTTACAAACTCACAAAAGAACACATGAATTGCTTCAGATAGAATATAGAGAAAGCATATCTGGTTTCTTCACTAGGTATAATACAGTGGGAGAACTGACTTGGGATGTTTTGCATTTGATCGCAATTGTTGCGGATAGCAAGAGTCGCGACCGACTTTTCTTTTATCCAAAAGGAAAGACTGAAAAGAACAGGAAAGACCTTTCGAGATTATTTCTTGAGTTCGGGGGTAGATTATAAAAAGGAAAGGTGGTAGCACCCTTTTCATCCGTAGTTATCTACAGGTTCTTAGTTTCTTGCTAGATCACTTGCTTTTGTTTGAAAGTGTGTTTGTGATGTGGGTTTTGAAAGTATTTCAAAAAAGAATGTCTTTGTAATGGTTCTCGTCTCTATAAGAACGCGTACAAAGTGTTTTGTCTTTTGAAAAATGTTTCAAAGTGAAGTTGTGGGTGTAAAATATTTTTGTTGTGAGCAAGCGAGCAACTGGGAGTAACCTACCTACTCAAAAGGTCTTAAATGTTTTTTCCTCCTCCTTCAGATGTTGCTATCTTAACATTGGTTTGGTAAGAAGCCCCATCGTTGGATGTGAAGGGACGGGCGTGGGACATTTGTATACTCATAGAAGACAATCTATAGGGTATTTTAGCAATGTCGTTTAGGGACTAGATCGTTTATCGAAGGCAACATTGAGGGTCATCGAGGGACTACGATCTTTTATCGAGGGTCTTTTCTAAAACGCCCATGTTCGAGGGACATGACTATTTTCCGAAAGGCAACAGAGTGGGGTTATCCTAAGGGTGCAAGTGTGAACGGTGTGTTTGATTTACATGTATTTAGTCTTGATTAGGGTTATCTATTTGTTGATTTTATGTCTTACCATACAAACTCTAATTACTAACATTTATATTTGATAACGATAAATTGCGGAAATGTAAAGTCCTACACTATTACATCATTTAGGGATGAGGGTACGTAATTACAAATGGGGGTTTTCAAGAACTTTAAATCCTAATTATTTATTACAACCATATCGAATTGTACAATATAAAAAAGAAAAAGGAAAGGATTTATTTTTGAAAATGGTTTTTTGTCTTAACAAATTAAAGGGAAAGTAACTAGTTGATAAAAGAAAATATTTTTATGCCCTTTTTATGTTTAATAAAATTAATACTGAAAATAATAAGAATAAGAGAGAAAAAGGAAAAACTTAATGAAACCAGGATCAGCACATTGCTGAACACGAAAATGAAGGGGACCAGAACTTCTGACGTGTGTGTTGTAGCTCAGAAAGAAATATCAGAGGTGATCAAAAGTTCTGGGTTGATGCCATTGGAATCCTGAAAGAAACGTTAGAGGGTAAAAACATAAGTTTTAGGTTGTGTTTAGACAGTGAGCAAAAAGTCAGAAGTTATGCGTTGTGTTAAATAGTGAGTAAAAATCAGAAGTTCTGTGTTGTGTTAAACAGTGAGTGAAAAGTCAGAAGTTATGTATGTTAAAACAGTCAAAAATCCTAGAAGTTTTGTGTGTTAAAACAGTAAGGAGAACTCAGAAGTTCTGTGTTGTGCTAAAATAGTGGGAAAGAAAGACCCATAAGTTTTGTGTTACACTTCAACTCCTTCCTTACATTAATCAGCTTATCAGTAATTTATTCAGTTCTTAACAACAACAAATCAGAAAGATAAAAGCACAACAATTCATGGAAGTTCTAATCCTAATTCTGAGCCTAGCTTTATTCAAGAAGTTTTGATCCATATTTTTTTCTACTTATGCAATGACATGGACATCATTAATACTATGATATTTACATATTTAATGATGTTCTGAATGAAAAGATTCAAAGTCAGAAAGACTTACCTTGAATCTGGAACGTGTGTTTGGGACTTGAGCTGCTGCCTTCAGATGTTCTGGAGTCAGCAAGAACAACAAAACATAAAATGCTATGTTCTTTGATTCAAAGGGAAGAACAAAGGTTTTGGTTTTGTTTAGGAATTCAGGGTTCACGAATCTTTTACTGTTTTCTTTTCTCTCTTTGATAATTCTCTCTTTTCAAAAGCCAACCCCTTGAAAGTGTGATGAAGCAACTTATTTATAGGTGAATTTGTTGTGGTTTTGGGGGGAAAACAAATGAGATTTAAACCTTTTTGTCATATTGTTCCATTGCTTTTTAATCAAAGCCTTTGTATGCTAATTTGGTGCAAATATGGGGTTTGAGAAAGTGCAGGCGTGGACTGGATTAACAGCTGATTGCAGGACTGTGCTACAGCAGTGCAGCAGGTTGCTCAAACGGGGTTTTAGGATTTGGTGATGTTCTGATCGCAGAAGACCAGAGTGAGATTCGAAGGGTGAGACTCTGATCGAGGCATTGAACGTAGCCCCCATATGCTGAAGCATCATGTTCTCACTAAAGCATCATGTTCTGAACCGTGTTTGCATATTCTGTCTGTACTCGCATGGAGGTTGACCCAGAAGTTCTGAAGTATCATATCCTCTTAACACTTAGAAAATTTTCTAAATGTTTAGAAATTTGATTTTTTTCAAAATAATTTATGATTTTAGATTTCTTGATGACCCAACTTCTTGTATTGATGGAATATGATTGTTGAAACTTGATTTTGATCAAAAAGTCAGAGTTTTACTTTTTAGTGCGCTTTTGACCATTTTGCCATTATGAATGACTTTCCTGGAAAATTGTAATCCAAGACTTGAAACTTGATAGAAGCAAACCTGAGGGTCCAGGATGATCCCTTGGGAAACGAGAGGGAAACTTTTGGGGTACAACAACTGCCCTTGTTCAATCTTCTTAAACCTGAAGAGTTAGGTTGGCGAATCTGCCATTTGTGACTTGAATGTGGAAGATGATTGAACACTAGAGTGCCCTGAAATTTGCACTCTGATGATTTGGAGGTTGAGGTGTAAGGAATAAGCTTAAAGATTCCATTTGGAGAGATGATGGAGAGTTGTCGGAGATGGGCCTACAGATGCCATCCAAAAGTGATTGGTGGAAAAAAATTGAAGAAGTATCATAATAAATCTCTGGCTGATTTATACTGAAATAGTAGATGTAGTGGGATGAGTATCAGA